TGTATGTTTTGTATTGCGGTCTTCATGCTCATTTGGACTCAGGGTAATTTGCATGTAGTTTATTTATTTTTTATAACAACGCTCATATATATTTTTGTATTATCCAATCGAATTCTCATTTATGGTTCAAGTCTTGAATCAACTTTAAGTAACTAACTGTAGTTAGCGGAGTGGCTGACTTGAAGACTGTATAGTCAATTCGCCCTCCCTCGCTGTATTTATTTTAGAAAAACTTGTTGTGATATATGTAACAATGTAATATACTTGAAAGCGTAAATAAATTTCAAAATCTAAAAATCTAAATCTAAAATCTAATCTGAAGTGACTCTTGATTTAGCCAATATTAAATTGCTCATACTGTTTCGACTATTACTTAAAAAAAACAAAAACAAATATGAGTCAACGTGTATCAGTGAATAGGAATAAATCCACATCAAAACTTTATATCACAGAAATTTTCTAATCTTGCTAGTGGCTTCTAAACCAGTAAGGAATAAGGCCACATTAGAAGAGAATTACTATTCAAACTCACTTGTCCCATATATTCAAACAGCAAATGGGATGAAAAATTACCCTCTATTAAAAACAATACTGTTTGTTACTAAAGGAACGCAAGTGCCTACTTTGTAATGTGTCTACATATTAGACATGATAAAACATTCAAACTTTAAAGACAGATAAAATACTCTGTATAGCGTTATTTCACTTAAGACGTTGCGTGCATTTAGTCTACTCACACTCAAACTTGATTGTAGCATCTCATGCTATGTAGTGTATACCAATGAAACATGCAATTCAATCTATAATAATGCAAAACATATTGGTGAATCTCCAAACACAAACAGAATAGATAACTGTATTCTTATGCAGGCATACTAAAGTTATCTCGTTTTCAAATCACTAATATCATCATTAAAGCAATGATAAATCATTGTCCAGGTCATTAAGCTCCTACATGCTAGACCTTTGCTGCTTATGTGGTTTAGCAGAGTCCGGAGCTGGTCCTGCTTGGTTGGGGTCAGCCCTGCTCTCACCATAGCTACCTAAAATAATAATCTGTTATTAATTAGATAAAATATTGATTTTGTAAATCGAATTAGCGACAATTTCCAAGTCACGAGCACTTTCAAACTAATTCGGTCTAGAACTAGGGGAATTGTAGTTGGTAGAACTCTGTGTAATTAGTATTGTAATGCGTATGCGGTTTGTTTCGCTTTCGATACGTTTACATTTTTATGTGATTAGGGCATTGGGTTTCATTTCACATGTGAAATTCTCAAAATGATTTATTTTCTTAAATACTTTAAACAAAATAGTGACATTACATGTTGGTAAGCCTCATTTATATCGCAATAATTTTACTAATGACAATAATAAGTTCTATTGCATCCAATGTGTTGACCTCGTATTTACCTCCCATTAGATCTCTTTTGCTAGGATGAGCAGTCCTTGCCTCTTTCTCCTTTGCAAAGTAAATCTTGTTGATGTACTCGATCAGGTTGTCGACGGTCTGGGGGAAGTGATCAATGCGCTCCTGCAAAAGTTCCTCTTCAGATTTCGATTGCGCCGGCTCCGAAACTTTCTCAGGCATTGCGTTGATCTAAAATAGTATTTAATATTAAAAGTCATGGCCCTAACCACCATCCAGGTCTTGGAAGTTTTAAATTACACCTTCCGTCAACAACATCAAATACGTGTCTGTTTTTGACAAAGTATATTGTTGTTAAATGGTCACTTTGCATGCATATGTTTTATTTGCACATGCAAATTAAATGTCAGGCATGATCTTTCGTTTATAGCACAGAATTCAAACGGAATATTGAAGCCGTTAACTTGACATTAGGTGTCATATATCAGCTGACGCTATCAAGGAAACTATGACGCCATCAATTACTATATATTTTAGACTATATACTATATATTTAAGCATTCATTCAAATTGCTATTGTAGAAAATAGTCACTGACACTGACACTGACACTGACACTGACACTGACAGAGATAAATATAGTGTTGTGAACTCTTGCCTCTATTAACACTAAACCATGCAGGGCCGTAGCCTGGGGGGCAAGGGGGAAGCTGTCTCCTAGATTTTGGAGCAAAGTTTAAAAATAAGCTTAGCTAATAATCGTAAATAACCCTAACGAGATTTTTTGGTCACTTATTCGTGAAAGCCTTGTCTCAGACCCACTCCTACCACACTATGTACGTCGACCAAGAGCTGCGCCCGTCGCTCATCATTACACAGTTGAGGCATGAAATTTTGCCACCCCCTAGGAATTTGCTCAGCCTACGGCCCTGTAAACCAAACTTGTCATTTTTTTGCTGATCACACCGCCTCAATAACACGGATCCTTATTATTACTGTAACGTGTTATATACATACAATTTGTCATAGATAGTAAGTAGGACTAAATAAAAGATTGCAGTCAGTAAAACATATGCATTGAATACATTACAATAAAATTTGGAGATATACACATGTTTGTTTGATAGCTACAGATGCCAAGGTAGAGAAGTATTAGTGTAGCTAATTGGACATATTATATACATTCGAATTCATAGAATACCAAAAAGCCAGATAATCTGTCGACAAATAGCCCCATAAAAGATAGTTACATACAGATGCAACTATCATGGTGCTATCATGGGTTATTCTCCATTAGTTTTCGCTCAATATTCTTAGAGCACTGGTGATTGTCTGATCTCCAAACAGCTTGTGTTTAGTGTGTATTATCATGATTAATCATTTACAAGTAGATCACGTCGCTATCTGAGTTTTTGTGTCAGCAACCACCCCTTAAAGCCCCGGTCACAACGGATCGTACGAAATTTTGTCGTGGTCGACCCATAAAATATTTGTCGTGGCCAGATCTTGCAACATGCCCGAAATGTATTTCGAGTGGTCACAAGGGCTACGACAACATCAAAGATGGCTTGGCGATAGGAACGCGACAGAAAAAAAGATATGTCGTGGTTATGCCGTGGGTGTGTCGCAGGTCAGTCGTGCGTCAGTCGTGAGTTGTCGGGCATTGTCGGGGGCTGTTTTTCACGTGAACAGGTCGTGGTTCACTCGTGGGATGCACGTGCTACAGTCGTGCGACTGGCGCACAACAGTCGTGGGTCATTCGTGGGTCACTCGCGCGTCCGTCTCCCGACTATATAACGAGGCCCGGTCTGTTGCCTGCCATTTGCTGCAGAGATTTTCCAGTGGATACATCGAAGTTCTGCCCGAATTTTTGACATTTGTCACTTCATTTAATCAAAGTTAGTATCCAGGATGCCTCTCAAGAAGAAAACCAACAAGCGAAAGGTGGTAAGCCTAGCTGTTGGCCCTTGGTGATGCGAGGGGCGACACTCAGCAACAGCTCGTGAAACATGCCAGACTCCATCCGCATGAACCCCACAAAGTCACCGGCAGATTCCCGCTCCAACTCTTGCATCAGAGTACTATACTGCCCAAACATCAGGCGCCGCTCGACCCACGGCCAAACCCACCAACGTCGGGGGTTTCGCTGGTTCCTGCGCTGCTCCCGGGCCCGAATCAACGCCAACAGCACTATATTATGCTCGTGCTGGAGTTCCTCCAGACGCCCTCTCAGCAGGGCCACGCGTAGTCGCTCAGGTGAAATAGCCATCCTCCTTCAGCGCCGACAGGCAGTTTTTAATTCTAAGCGTTTATTCGCCCAAGCTATATACCCCTCAAACAACGAAAATATGTTGCAAGACTAACGCAAGACTAACGCACGACAGACTTGCAATGTTGTGCGAGCCTCTTACGAAATATAATATTCGTGAGACAATCTTGCAACCGCAACAGCCGTGAGACAGTTGTAGGACAGTCGTGCGATAGTCGTAAGATTGTTTGACTAAAAATATTTCTTCTGGTACCCACGACAAGATATTTATCGCACGACAGTCGCAAGACTGTTGTAGGACAGACTCACGACAACCAGAAGACATAGATACCACAAAAAATCGTGCAACAAAAAAGGTGCATGTTTAATTTTGCCTCACGACGGCAAGTCGATGCCACGATGCTCAAAATTTCGTAGGACTGTCTTGCGACGACCCCCGATGACCCACGATTTGCCCAAATTTCCTATCGTGTCGTGGCACAAATGCGTCGTGGGCTCGTTGTGACTAGGGCTTTAAAGCCCTGCAGCGCAGGAACCGGCGAAACCTCCGACGTTGGTGGGTTCGGCCGTGGATCGAGCGGCGCCTGATGTTTGGGCAGTATAGTACTCTGATGCAAGAGTTGGAGCGGGAATCTGCCGGTGACTTTGTGGAGTTCATGCGGATGGACTCTCTTGGATCTTCCACCCAGGCCACGATCTTCAACTCTTGCTCCTCGGAGATGTCGTCTGGGCGGGCGATGTTGATGACAGTGCCGCCCTAGTCGTCGGGGGTCTTGCTCTTGCTCTTCGCCTTGCCTTGCCGCCCGCAGCCTTCTTCGCTCTCTTGGGGACAGCGCCACTGCCAGTGCCTGCAGCCTCCTCCTCACCCTCCGCCTCGGCAGTCTCAGTCTCAGGTACGACATCAGCAGGGTCACCGGCAGTCACCGAGTCGTCAGCCACTTTGACCACCTTTCTCTTGTTGGTTTTCTTCTTGGGAGGCATCCTGGATACTAACTGAGATTAAATTTGCAAAAAGTTGAATAAAATAAAATGACAAATGTCAACAATTCGGGCATAACTTCGATGTTGCTACTGGAAAATCTCTGCAGCAAATGGCAGGCAACAACCGGGCCTCGTTATATAGTCGGGAGGCGGACGCGCGAGCGTCCCACGAGTGACCCACGAGGGAACCACGACTGTTGTGCGCCAGTCGCACGACTGTAGCACGTGCATCCCACGAGTGAACCACGACCGACGTGAAAAACAGCCCCCCGACAATGCCCGACAACTCACGACTGTCGCACGACTGACTTGCGACACACCCACGACATAACCACGACATTTTTTTTCTGTCGCGTCCCCATCACCAAAACTATCTTTAATGTGTCGTAGCCCTTGTGACCACTCGAAATACATTTCGGGCATGTTGCAAGATCTGGCCACGACAAATATTTTATGGGTCTACCAAGACAAAATTTCGTACGATTCGTTGTAACCCGGGCTTAACATGGCATGGTGTTCGCACCTTGTTATTTCCGGTTCCGACCCACGTCTTCATTCGACCGAAGATGAAATCGACCATCTCGTATTCGTTCGACTGCTTGTCGTTGTCGTGCTTCACGATATTGAACGATACAATGATGATCGACAGGAACATATTCATCAGAATGAACGTGCAGAGAACGACGAAGACGAAGAAGAACACCGGGGATACCATGGGAGAGGTTCTAATCATATCCTCGTAGCTGTTGTGAAGATGGAAGTCGGGTTAAACAGATATTCGCAAATAAACGATATGGATGATAAGCAAAGTGATAGGTGCAGCACATTTATCTGTACACACTCTAACCCATTTAGCTCTTAATCACGGAATAGAAATCAGAGTCTGCAGTTAATTGGTTAGTACTTGTTAATTAAAAGCATAACCCTAATACATTACAATGGCATTGCTAAAAGCATTGTTAGGCATCACCTAATTAATTATGAATAAAAAGCCAAAAATACCGTTAAATATGTTTGCTTGTTGCTTAGACTAGCATTCTAGACTCTACTGATTTATCTCTTCGCCTTGTTCTATATAAAAGCCGTAGCATGTAGTGACTCACAATTATAGTTCTAACAAAACTGTAATAATAAACCTGCGATAAGCGATGAACCGGTCAGAAGCATAGTTTCGTCAACATACGAAACTGAAATATTAGCCTTTGCTCGTATGTCCAGCCCGTTAGAGAAAGTATATCAATGCAATATAGCTAGATAATAGCAAGGCTCTAGCTGTACGATAATTACGCCATGTGAGAACCCGACTTACTTGAATTTATTTAGTATCATGGAGAAGCTGGACTCTGCACTGCGCAAGAGTGTTGAGTACTCCACCATGTTGGTACCAAGTAGCAGCTGAAACATCATCGTGAAGGCCACAAAAACGAAGCCAAACATCACTGTGAATGCGAACAGATCTTTCCCACACGATGCCAATGTCTGGCCTAGCAACGACATCCTCCTGTTGAAGCGCAGCAGACGAATCATCTTGAGTGTTGCGAGGAAGCAAGTGAAGCCAAGCATGTATCCGAGAATCTCGTCGACGTAGTTGATGTATTGCAGCGTGATGTAGCTCTTACCTTTTGTTTCCGCAAACGTGGCCATGATGTCGTTCACTAACACCATGCGTGTAAAGTACATACTGATGGCAGCCAGTGAAAATCCAATAATTGCCAACTCATTCCAGTTCCAAATATCTCTAAAGTATGCCTTCTTCTTTTGCACCATGCCAGCGATCTCTTTAATAATGAAGATCAGCACAAATATCGCATAAATTATCTGACATATAATTTTTAAGCTGGCAAAGTCGGCTGGCTCATTGAGTGTAATAGGATCAAACCTGGCATACTTCCAGATACCGCCAGAAGAAGGAAATTCGAACAGGATCGTACAGACAGTGTAGAGGTTTACGTATGCATTGTATGTTGAAAATTCGATGAAAACTGCTCGCGTATATTTGTCGATCCATCGGTTCCTCTCTAGCTCTTTCATCTGGTTAGTAACATCGTTCACAGTCTCCTCAAAGAACACATAGTAGCCTCCGCCAGGGTAGCGGTCCAGGCGGCCCCAGTATGGTAGGCTCTTCATGGTCACGCCAGGACGGTAGTTGTATTCCGTCCGCTGGTTGACGTCTACTCCCGTCAGACTCCAACCAGAAGAAAAGTTTCGTGTCTCTTCATTGGAAAGCGCTGAGTCAGCACATTCTTGTGTTAGTTGGAGCATGTAGGGGCTTACGGTGCAGGAGTCTGCAAAGTGGTGCGCGTCTATGAGATGTCTACATGCAGATATTTTATCACGAGACAACATCCCTAGATAAAAGACAATCTCATCCTAGATGTTTAAGTTAACAAGCTGACTTAAAATATATATAGCTAATAATACTGATAGGATGTTGATAGTTCACCGAATCCCCCTGACACAGTAAATGTCTGCTGGTTTCTTAATTTTCGTCATTATTTCCACACATACGAAGTTTCTGTTCCTTGCACATAACTTCGAATTGCATCTGAACAATATGTATGTATGTAGTATGTAGCCTTTGAACAAATTAAGGTGGAATTTTGATCAGATGCAATCCACGCATTTATAAAATTGCATAGATACCTTCATGGTTGTACATTGTCACATCATATTTACTTTTACTGATGATTTATCCACAAAGGTGTACGTCAGTAAGGATTACATGGATAACATACCTGGAATCACTCGTACTTGACGCATCCATGCCGGGCCTAATCGCCTGTTAGTCCGGTCACCAAGGAACCCTCGCTCATCAACGGGAGGACTTCCGTTGTACCAGTTGGTGGTCACCAGTGCTCCGGGCAGAACGTTCTGAGTCCAGTTCCAAACTCGTTCCAAACGGTACAACTGCAATGTGGTGAGAATCGGATGCACAGAACATCTATGTATTTTCACGGCATCATACGCTTAAATCATTTTCATTGACTCGTGTCAATTAAATTCATCAAATTCATTCACCTTACTAACAGACTAAATAGTGCCAAAGACTATTTATCGATGCAAAGATCGTATAATAATTGATCAGATATTATATCGATCGTTATTTTCTGAGTCCAGTTCCAAAATCGTTCCAAACGGTACAACTATAATGTGGCGATGATGGACCGACACGCGTCCGATTAGACAATATATCATACAGTCAATAACATTGCACATTCAATGCATCAAACATGAATAGCGTTTGTATCCTGCGTTATATTTACGTTGCTTGTAATTTAAATGGTCGAGAATTCGTGGAGAAAATGTTTACTTTGTTCTGCTTGGAAATTGTTTTTGAAGACTAGCAAAACTGTTTATTATACTTACACCTTCAAAATCTAGATACCAGTCACCCGGAGCCAGGAAATGGGCCTGGAATGAAGCTTGTTGCTCATATGAATTTGGATCCCGTTGGCTGCAGTATAAACACGGTATTACTGCCAACAATATGGCCGTTCCCACGCCAGATGAGAGGTCTAGATATTATATAGATATACACTAGTCACGTTCAGATTCATAGAAATGGAAAATACAGGTGTACCAGCGGTAATATATTGGTTACTATTTGAAGTATGCTTCCACTTACCATCCAGACACACGTACACGGGCACTTGGTAATATTACATTTAAACACAAAATGCATCATACCTGTAGCTAACGACCCAGACGATCCAGAGGAAGAATATATAAATGCCGAGATCTCTCAGAATCTCGAACATCTTCATCTCCTTGAAGCGGGTCTCACGTGCAGCGTTCAGTTCGGCTGTTGGTGGCGGTTTGTAGCCAGACCTCTGCGATCGCAGCACGTACACGCCTGAATCATGATCACATACAGTTAGTTCACGGCACGACTACTCAGCTCAATGTTAAATTCTGGTTAGAATAATTAATTTATAATTAATTCTTATTTATACCGAGATGTTTCTGTATGCGCATTACGGGCAACAACATAGACCAGGTAATCATTACTTACGATTAGTGTTTAAGTATCAATAATAGTGTAGCATAGGGAAATGGTTACACGCAGTTGATGTTCCTTCCATCTCTAAGCTGTCCGTTTTTGTTCGTCACACAGGTCCACATGAAGGATATGTAATACATGACACTCACCGTCCTGATGCATCCACTCCTCATCCTCATTTAGATTCACCTCCTCTTGATCAAAGTCCGCATCGTCATCCTCAATGTCGGTATTCTTACAGACGCAGCTGAAGAATACTGCCAGCAGGAATACCTGTAAATCATCAAACATACTGCCAGAGAACTGCTTGCTGCAACTTCTATTAAATAAATAACATGCTGAAAAATATATACAAACTGGCCAACACGTGTGGTAAGTTTAAAACAATTATATAAATACCTTTCATTGACCTATTGGTTTGTGAGTATATGTGAAAGTTGAATTTCTACAATATTGTAAGCCAACGTTGCATTGGGCTGTGAGTGTACATTCACTCCAGTCTAGTGCGTGAGTCGATAATGTGTACTGAATTATTTTCTGGATATTCTTCACTATATGAATATGCCCGCCGCAAATGTCGGCAGAATTCAGACAGTGTGATAATAAATTAATTCCTAGGCCTACACATACGCTTTTTGTCAGACTTACCTTCAGGGGTTGAGTTATGAGAACATCAAACAAAAAGGAAATAAAGAGAGACGACAGCCACTTCTGGCAGAGAAGGTCTCCGAACTGTATGCCATAGAGGAGGATAAAAAACATGGAGGTGGGGACCGTCAGAATCGCGAGAATCCATGCAATGATCACGAACCACCACGGCAGAGAGAATGGCATTTTCTTTGCCTTCTTTTTCTTTGGTACAAATCTATAAATAATAAATAAATTACGCGACCCAGTTTAGTCAACGCAAGTGTTATCCACATGCTTCATAGACTGTGACTCTATACTTGTGATGTATTTTTGAAATATAGCACTGGAAAAATTGGAGATTCAACCGATGATGTGTCATATGCCTTAAATCTATTTGTTAACGTTGACGACACATAAGTCAGAAGTGTTTAGGCTGTGTAACCTCACTATGCAATTAAATAATTACCAGAGATGAGGACCAAGTATAATAGCGAAAGAGTTTATTAAAGGGGGTATTAAATAGTCATTATCAAATGTGTTTAGTCATTGCCTTCTACTACACCATGGCGACTTTCTGTCCTTACGCTTTTAGCATTTAATTCGACAAACTGGATTGGATGGTGGAACAAATGGCGGCCAGAGACGCAAGCGCAAAAGTCGTAGCAATTTCAGGCATGTGTACCGTTGTCCCACATCGCCATTCGACATGGCAGATTCGAGGCGAGATGTCGCAGTCTTAAGGCGAGGATCATCATCGTCTTCCAACGACACAGTGAACGAAGCCGCAGAGTCCGGTCGCAGCTCAGATGCTTTCTTGATTCCATTTTGCCTTTTCTTTGCTGCCCTTTGATTGATGTTTGGCACCTCGCTGTCTGACCAGGATGAATCCCAGGAAACGTCTGAGTCATCCCCAGGAACGTCTGTGAATAATCAAATGAAGGTTTATTACCAAAAATTTTACGAAACGGGAAAGAATAAAGTGAGCTTCTATTCAATGGTAGTAATTAATCTTGGTAATTACAGAATTAAACATGTATTTTATGATCTGCTTAGCCAAATGCTGCCAATTAACATCTGCCTGATTACGTCAGCGCAAGTAGGTTATTGTAAATATTGCATCGACTCTTGTCATTTGTGTTCTGAATGATAAATTCGTCCCACCTTCTCATTCTCATAATCAATACTGATTACTCATGTCTGGGAGATATCTATTCATATGCCACCTTTTTTATAGTTCTTGCTGTCCTCTTCATTCTGACGTTTCTCGCGATTTGTGCGTATGGCCTCCATGATGGGTGACGTCTTCTTATACCGAGAACGAGTCTTGCGGAATATCATCACGATCAGTAGATTGATGGGAAAGATGATCAAGTTTGACATTAACCCAACGCCAATCTGCAAGACATGTGATTGCTCTTTGAAACAAGAGCATTCAGAGATAGCAAACCTCCCCCACAGCGTAACAGTCCCCCATCTTGCTGAGACACCCTATATAGAGTTTGATGAAATTTTCAGAAATTTCAAAAAAAGAAAATCAAATAGATCCAGGTTTTTTTGATGAATTTCGAATGTGTCGGAAGTCTTCCCCACAAAAAAATCCTGGATCCAGATCTTGATCCGGATCACCACCAAAATCTAATCGATTGGTTGTTGGCCCAAGACCAACCCGTCCAAAAAATTCCATCAAAATCAGGCCGTAACTTTTTGAGATATCCTGTTGACAGACAAACCAACAAACCAATAAACAACTCCTTCACGGAGGTAAATATACGCGTACATCTTATTCGATATTATCTGTTATTTATTTTTTACTAGAATTTACATATAACCGTGCATCCTATTTTATATGATCTGTTTTTTTACTAGAATGTACAATGTGTTAATGTACGAAACGATAACCGTGATACAAGCAAAAACTGATACATATGTCGACGGCGGGTGTTAATGTATTGTTACATACGCAAAGAATAGAAACATCGTAACATCGGCTTACTTACTATTGAATGACACGTGGCGATTCATAGTATGTTCTGATTCTACACTGTTTGTATTCATATAATTGCTCGGATAATTTTACTGAATGTATGATCAATAAAATAATTCAAAGATTATTAATTATTATTTTCCTGTATATATGTAAGCAAATAAACAGAGAAAATACCACTACAGCGGAAATAATTATATTCGTAACTTTACATTCACTATCGCGTGTCACATAGTAGAAATTGATCTACACACTAACCTCCTGACTCGTGATCGAGAATGGCCCAAACTTCAGTCCCGCCTGCGACCGTGACGTAGTTTCCGGTACTTGTCCGTACCACATGGCGCTTACCAGCATGGTGGTCATCAGCAGTGACAAGCAGCATGTTGACCTCTGTCAGGGAAACACATGTAGAAACCCGATTGCCTACGTGCTGCAGTAAAATGTTCTTACGCGGAGGCAGCATATGTCCCACTAGTCTACAACGTACCGTAGGATTTATAGCGCAGCGGCTAAGACCCATCAATCAGATGAATTGTGCATTTATTGTCAAAAGCATGAAAATTGTCACACAAGTAGTTTAAGATATTGGTTACAATTATACTTCTGCTAATTATACCAAACAATATAGAAACATTATCTTGATGTCTAAACCAACATTATCGGGGTTAAGGTATTCATTTCTCCCATAAGCAGCATCCCCAGGTGGCTGAATCAAGATGGCAAACATGTTGAAATTATTCATGTTCCAATTCATCCACATTTGGCATGATTACATGATGACAGGTTAATGAGCATCTCATCTGATTTGGCTAATATCCCTTGTGCCAGGTACCATCAGGAACAGCTTGTACTTCTTCCTCATGAGAAAAGTGGTGTGTTCACTTGTGGTGCCATTGACAATATTGATCACAACCCCAGAGCAACCGCAGGTCAAGAGTCATCTCATGGAACAACGATTTCAGTAATGCAGTTCCCCACAGTTAAAACCCAGGGGGCGGATCGTTAAGAAACAAGGTCCAATTCTGCTGTTGCTAACCAAAATACAACTACCCTCTTCCACTTAGTTAAACTATGGTGTCCAATGTTTCCAGGATCGATAACTCTACTGTGTCTGTCAAGTTTCGAGACCTTGAAGCTAATAACGTCCCAGATAAGTGATATGGCAAAGTAACAGCAGTAGCTAATACAAATAAAAGCTTTACTCAATAAAACGAAGCTGAAATTGGGTGATTACCTGTCATGGGCTGCATACCATGACAGTCAAAGCCCCCTAGTAAAGGAGCCGCCCCAAAACATAGCACTCCTCCCTCTGTTCCGCGATAATGCTCACACAACATGCATGATTTCACATTTATGGATGATTTCAATGATATGAAGATGATCAAGAAGCAGTCCATCACATTATGAATCCTAAACAAATCCATGTTGCTACAGACCAACCGTTGTATGCAATTGCAAAATCAGTCAGTGGTGCTGACCGGAAAGCCATGGAAAGGACATAATCGTGGTCATGATGGGTGGCTTCTACATAGAAATTAATCTGTTTACGTTATTATGGGATTGTGTCCGGGAAAGTGGCTGGACCACAGCACTTTTACAAACTGAAAGTACTACATCTGGTCGTACAGGTGGAATGCTGTCTGGGAAACATGTCGCAAGGACTAGGTATACCCACCAAGGTAGCGTACAGCAGCCAGTCTGCACATATTGCAGCGATTTGTATAGCAACAAAACCTGTCATGAGTACTAAGTAGACAGGATGCCATTTCATTTCTGGAATGGTGCAACCTACAATGTACAAAACAGCCTCATTTCAAGTACTTGGCAACAACGTTGCAGCTAAAACTCGTGATGCTAAAGTTTGTGCAATTAATCCGAGAGGAAACCTCAAGCTGCATGTTCAGTGCTTGATGCAATTTGCACCATGGCTTTTTGTCGTTGACTACACCAATAGCAAGTGGCTCCCAATCTACATCGGTGATATGGCTAACCTGAACACAACGCATCTTGAGCAGTACATGCAATTTGTGCGTAGGCATCTTGTCGTACAGAAATTCAATAATGTCTTCTCAGCAATGACAAGATACCAGTGTCGCGAACAAGTCAATTAACTCATAAAACAGTGACGGGGGTGCTGTTGGTTTGACGAAAAATATACAAGCCATGGAGATGTTGATGGTGACAAGACCAGAGATATCACGAGTAGTGCTAGAGATCGAAGATAGTTTTCAAACTTTCGAGGACCTTGGGATGACAACAAAACATTACGAACAATACCATTGCACTCAAACGACCTTTTCCAAAGACGTTTCATCATTGGTGTCAACAATTGAGAGTATAGATAACCATTTCTTGAGGATGGTGAAGACGTGCTGACTCTACGTACAAAAGTTGTGATAAATAAAGATGTGATGAAAACGGTTTATTCTGTTGAGGACTTGGGAAAACACAATAAAATAGATATGTAAAGGAACGACTGAAAAACACATTAAACGTATCTCTCAGTAACAAAGGTGAAAAATGACAAATTGTCACCTTTCAGCACACCTTCTTTGAAGCAAAACTCAAAAGGTACAGCGAAATTTATTATTCCTATAATTTCCTATAAAAGAAAATAAATTTATAAATTTATTATTATTTCGGGGTTCTACTGAACGTATGGTCGAGGGAGTGGTTATCAAACTCTGTTTAATTTAAAGGGCCAGCCGTCTATTTGACGGCGAGAAGCTAAGCACAAGGGTCATGCATACGTCCAGGTTCTTTCCTGAGAAACCAGTATGTTTCGCAATCACCGCATGTGCTGGAGGACGGGTTTACATATAGACCTGGGTCGGTCTTGTACGATAATGCAGGCACCGACGGCAACCGTGTTGTATGTAGCACAAGTTGCCATCTTAGGTGACAATTATTTAACACTGGCAGTCATTACAGATCGTCTAGTAGAGAAAGCCACCAGAGGATGACCTCCACAGATACTCCGCCTGCAGCGGTAATTGATGAAGTAGCTACCGCGGTCGTGCCAGTTCGTGTGGTTGATAAGGTCCGATCGTGCCGGCGCACCACCTGATTTGTCTTCTGTGATCGACCTAGCGGTAGAGGGGAGGAGTGTGGCGGTTGCACGGCAACCGCCTATGCATTAGGTGATGTGATTCACTGATGTGTACAATATATGCACGTGTGTAATCCCTATGTTGTTGCTTGTGAAATGTCACATGTTTGTCCTTCACTCACTTGTGAAATAGCTATGATTCGCTGTTTTTCAACTTGTGTAGCGGGAAGCATGTTGAGTTATGGATAGGTGGCAGGAACCTACCAGGTTTCCCAGTGTGCACTATAGGAGCTAGCTACGTGTCACTTTGTAGTTAGCAATAATTGGCTGACAAGTATTGCAGCGAGAGCATCGCTGTCAATTGCTGCTAGACGGTCGCTTCATGTGAACACAATGTCGGTTTTGTGATAGCTTGGGTTAGGGTTTAGCTTTACGTACATCACTACAGAAGGCTAGAGATGCAGAGTTTTAGTGGCCTGTGTAGCCAACTACTACTGATAATATCTGTTTTCTCTGGTGAGTGAGCTGTCTGTATTGTGCTGTAATTGTTGAGCGAGTAAATATAATATTTTATTTTGACTTATAAAAATAACATGCAGAATAGCATTAACAAGTTTATTGTCCGTTGTATTGCGTTGTCTGTGTCCGTTCGTTGTCCGTCCGTTGTCTGCGTTGTGTTGTCTGTTGTCTACTGTCGGGCGTTGTTGTCTACTCCCTGTCCCCGCACCGGACCTTGGAACGAACGCCAGGGAGGTACACAGACTCACTGGTGAGACTGGTTGCTGGCTAGCGGATTTCCTGGTGTCGCGGACGGCCAGGACTCACTAACGTCCTAGCGCATCCGGACGTGCCAGGTAGGTGCCCGCGACGATAGGCTGAACTAACGCTACAATTAGTGCTCACTATGCGAAAAAGTACGCGGACATTTCAAAACGCTACATTTAGTGGGAATCCGTGTCCCCGCCGGGTACGTAGCTCAAAAACGCTACACACATATCTGATTATGACAAGCAACATAATTTAAACAGTTACCTGGAGACGGGTAAATCGGCTTTTTGGGGGGCGACTAAAGACAGAAAACCACAAGTGTCCATCTTTAAGATCACGTTGTGCCTTGTTTTGGAACAAGTGGCCGAACTCCTCTAGTTGTTCCTTCCCAGCAACTGGCAAAAGACGGTCCACCTAAAAATGCAAGATAACACAGAGATATATTGTCTTTCTTTAACTAACAGTACATCACTGCAACTCCACTTGCATGGTAATATAAGAATAAGGGTTTTCGGTAGACACGGAATACCTCGTAGGCATACATACATTGACTGTACACTGACAATTGCTGGTATTGTTTTGACCTGAATTCTATGCATGCATGGAGAAGCACTTCTATAGAAAATTTATATCTCTTGCACAACAGCAGTGCGCGTAACTGTATAACTTTAAGGATCACGACAACATGTGTTAGTAGATCTATGAGATAACATGAAGTGTCACCTGTCCATCATTAGATTCCACCGCGAACCACTTTTCTGCGATAAACTTGAACTTTTCCCCCGTCTGTACGTCGGATATAGTGATATATTTGAGGTACCATGATCCAAATGTGCCCTTGCCACTGTTGTCGTGCCAGATTCGCACGTAGTTTAGCTGACCAAGTGGACTGGAATACACGATTCATGTTAAAGGTATTGACTAGCTGGCTGAGGAAACTGTAAACAATCAGATATTTCAATAATAAATTTTCATGTTGCTGATAATTAAGTGATATTTGCCAATTCTTCTTATGTTTCGTCGTTCGTTTGGTTCGTCCTCTTCGTCTTCTTCTTCATCTTATATCTCGACCGATTGATTAAACAATTCACACAGACTAAATTACGTACGTTGGGCGACAGTGGATTATAAAATAGTAGGAACAGTGGGGACAAGAAGACAGAGAAGATACTGTATCCTCCTTTTTAATTAACATTATTTAAACACGCACCCAGGAACAGACAAGACAAATATATCGACAGCTCCACTTCGAAACAGAGGGCGCTTTTCGTCTTTGAATGTGCTGACATCTGTCTCGTCATTATCCCCCGAGATTATGCATTTGACCTACAAAAACAAGTGATGGGGATATTGACGAGTAAATGCATTAGTCGAAAGGGATAAGAAATATTATACATGCTTCATATAAATTGTCGGAACAGTATAGGAGTCAGATATTAGGCCGACAGTCGGGCAGGTACCAGTGCCCAGAGAGAAAGCCAGATTGCAGCTAATGGGCCAGCTAAATTCCTATCGAGGCAGGAAACGAGAAGCCATGCTGTATGTGTAGGTCTTCAAAATCAACCGGATTTCTACTGTGATGGGAGGCGGAGATGAAGAGCCGTATATACTATAACCGTCAACCAAGAATAAACCTACCAGTGAATCAGTCGCAGAGCCTTTTGTCATACCGGTATAAATAACGACCTCGTAGAAGTACTTGTGGCATGGATTGTTGTCTGGCATAGGTGTAGCGCCGAGCTATTTGAATAACAATACATAAATAATGTAGAATAACGCGTAATTCATGCTACAGCCTCCACCAACATCGCGTGAAAGTTCGCTGTCACCAAGTCGCTCACCTTGCGCAGATCTTTCCTATCCTTGTATCTTGCCCATATCGCAATCAGCAGGTAGATAACAATTATGACGATCAACGTGATAAAGATGGTGGGATTCTGAGCGAAGTTGAAGTTGGCGAAGACGTAGTCGAAATCGATGGTGTTCGGCGGAACGAAGAAACCGGCAGTAAAGTCCGAGTTATGTGACGTCAGACACTTTAGAACATCAACAGTGCTCTCGTCGCTTACCTAGAATGATGGACGCAACGTGTCGCAGTAACCAAAGCCAGACGTGCGCGCGTATTCGAATTCAACCTCAACCTTGCATGCTAACATGCATTTAGTTAATTATTTGTACTGGCTCTTATTAAAGCCCCCTCTATAGAAACTATAGCACCCTCGTTAATGGGAGAAGTGTATAGATACGCGTTATCATTGTGCTTTACGTTCACACAGCTTAGATAAATCTCAATAATTTAAAGCTGAATAACTTTTTGTTGCTTTACTGTTTAGTTTGAAGATCATGTAATAAAACATGGCGTCCAATATAAACCATTACTATTGCTCCTATCAGCGATGCCCATCTAACACATTTCTCAATGATGTGCCATCGCGTTTAACTCAGCGTGTTTTGTGTGTGATCAGTTGTCACCTTCATGCCATGAGTGGACAGGGTGTTGTCGACTATGGTCATGCATGTGTGTTCCACACAGCGGAGGCCATACGGCACCGTAAACGTTTTGGATAGAGAGATGTTTATATCACTGCAATCAAACGACAATATTTTATTAGCGTATCCGATTACACAATTAATTTAAACTTCTGTAACAACAAGACGAGAGCAAATAATGTGTATAAATGCAATATTTCATAGATGTCAAACGAGTATTGTGACTGTTTACTATGAAGCAATGCTATACCAGCCGCCCCTCCGAATAAGTGCTGCAATATTTATACAGGTGAGTAATGCACCGTGATTCACGTTGATGATACACACGAGTGCCGCTCCGCAATAAATCCCATAAACTCACTTCCATATAAAAAAACGGGAGAATTCTTCGTCAGTTTGGACCTCAGTAAGGCCCTGTGTCACTCCGATATATGCTTGTTCCTTCCCTTCACTCTTTAGTATGAATTTGACCGTAGCTAGATGCAGAAATTGCAGAAAAATTACGATGCGCCTTGGCTAACCTAACGAAATAATCATTTTGATCGGTATATTGAAAGTTTTTATATATTGAATGATCACAGACCATATAAAATTACCAAACCACGGTCTGTGGGAAAACGTACGTTATTATTTTTATTATTATTATTATTATTGATAAAATAATTATATTAACCATCAGTGTCAGCAATAAATATGAAGTTGTAAGCATATTCATAATGGTTGTAGTGAGGTTTTCTATCAAAGCTGGCCAGAACGAGGTAGTCAATGTCGACTGGTGGATATGACACTTTTAGCTCGCATACGATTGCTGATTCTTTCATGCCCTTCGCAATTTCGTTGTAGGACATCGCATCCTGTAAAATCAACATTGACAATGCAGAACACCGATGAGAGATTTCTGAATATTATTATCTCGTGAAATATATTGCATAATCCTGCAAAGTGAAGCTGTTTCTTACAGGAATGAAATAATTGTCCAAGGACGCGTCTTTGCTCATCCCAAGGCTCTAAAGCGTTCTAGCAATACCATATCGATCTCGGTCGGTTGAACTGCACTACGAGGTGCCAGCACAAGCACTTCCCTGCACCCACGGGCGCGCATACGGATTGAATTATTGCTTGAATTATACTAGATGTCGCCGCTGAGAAAAAAATAATAAGTACCTTAAATATCTCTAAGCAAACACAAAGTAGTCAAGTAAGTGAGCTGTCATCGGCATAAAGTCCTACGCTCACTAACGCGTGCACTCACTGTAACGTTCGGCTGCATCATTTCGAACACTGATGCAGCGCCACCTGTTGCTCGCTTCCATCGCGTGTTGGGAGTCGACTGCGGTTCGAACATTAGTGCGATGTCCCTTGACGTGTTTTTCACGTCATTGTCTAAAATATCGATGGTGATAGTTTCACGGATTTCTTTGACGTCATTGCGATTACTCGCAGATGCGGCGATGTCGCCCTTAATGCGAATGACCTTGAACGAAGAAACAAAGTGACCATGATGATTGGCGATATGTCATAGGCCTATGCTGGCAACCATGTAATCTCTGAATACCCGCGGCACACGCTCTGTATCGTTCTAAATAACAATCGTGTCTCATGGCAGTCGTGTGGGCAAGTACAGTAAAAACCCGCGTATAAGAACATAGATTTTTCCAAGTTAGCCTCAACATGTTCTTATATAAATGGTGCTTACTGAAAATTAGGCTCAAAAAGTTCTTAAATAGGTTCTTAATTGTTTCTACTTTTAATATGTACTAGCTGAAACCCGCGCTACGCGCGGGCTTAGTGACTGTGATGCATGTGTTACCAGTACAGTAGTGTTATGTGTAAGGTGTTCTTTTATGCGGGTTTTTACTGTATATGTAAATAATGCAGTACTGTGTCTCAATAACAATGCCAGGGTGCTGGTATTGTTATCGTTGAGCATTGGCATTGGCATTGTTATTGCATCGATATTGTTGAGCTCGTCTTTTTTATTTTACCTGTGTTTCTTTTTAAGTCTTCATCTGCATGGAAAATTAAGAACCTACTTTAAAATCTTAGCCTAAAACAGGTTCTTATGTAAAGGGGTCTAAATGGGAAATTTTAGCCTAACATGTTCTTAAAATCTATGTTCTTATACGCGGGTTTTTACTGTATTGTGTCTCATGCTGGACGCCACTGCGTATGACTATGATCCGTAACTATGATCATCATCTATCACATCGGGAATCTTGTGTTTCTTCCTACGAACACTGATGGATAAAACTGAAGCACGTGATCATGCACTTTTGGAGTACGGGTGTATCATGCCAAAAAATTAAATATATTATTATGTTGCCATGATATGATACAGCCAGCTATAATGTTGGATGTAACATGCTGGGAGTAATAATGCACATGTATCTACGGTAGGACAATAATTTTCTTTAATTATTTTGCTCCTACCGTTAAAACAATTGGCTTGTCCGGATAGCACGGTATGTTCAGATCCATTATATTAGGGAATTCAACTCCCATGTTTCCTGCATCGAAGCCGTTTTCTATCTCTTGACATTTGTGCGGCACAACTCTGTTGAAGATTTATAAGCTTATCAATCGTATGAGGAAGTTATGCACATACTCATTACAAAAACCAGCATACATCGGGTTCAGAATCTCAACGGCTGTCAGTAGGCCCTTACATGATAATTAATAATAGTCAGATATGTTGGGAAGTGGGATACCTGATTCTACGAGACATAATTATGAACTACTTGAGATAATACGATAATACACGATTGTGCATACTGCAGTATCGGTAGCTGCGGCAATTCTACGATATAAATCGTGTTAGCTATGAAGCGATTTTAACTTGTGATTATCCTCACCAGGTCATCGCATACATGTATTCATGTATGTGAACACCACGAAAACACATGCAAAAATGACTAAAAGACAAACGTATGTTAGCTTCCGAATTACTGACACAATTGAAAACTGTCCTTACTTGGCTTCCAGTCTGTCCGTCTTTATATGGATAGGTAAATCGCCAGGGACTGCGGCTTCGGCAAAGTTGTTACTTATATATTGCTTAATCTGCTCGTAAACAACTGGCCTGTGCTTTGCATCCTAGAAGGTAAGGTAAGAAATGGTGAGAAATAGGCTAACGAAGTGCTCGATTATTTTCGCTGATGTCGTAGAGGACGTTGAGATTGTTTATATCGTTAAGAGTTTGGCTGCCGCTGCAGGTTGTGTATGACGTATAGATGCTGTAAGAGGTCACTGAGGTCATCATGATGGGAGTAGCTGCCGTAAAGTTGAACGAGTTCGTAGTTTAACGAGTCCGTACATGGTGCAGATGCCATGATGGTAAATATCGTAGGATGTTGATGGGGCGGCGGTTCTAGAAGTCAAAGTGCGGCCACGGTCATTATAATGAGCTTTGATTCCATATAAAGATCACAGAAGGCAAAGATTTTTGAACGATAGGATATCGTCAAATGCGAAACAACCACATAGATTTTTGATATGCTATAGGTCATCGAAGACAGAGCTAACGTGTTAGGTTCTGATAGGGCGTGCCACGTAGACGTTGTATTTCATCGGGTCAGAGTTTTCGTATCATATAGACTCTAGAACGCAACAAACATTCTCCGTTTTGAATGACATTTGATTGATTTGGGCCATAAAAATGTATAAATAACTTAAAATAAGTGAAACAAAGAAATAAAAGAAGAGTGGTCGAGAGACCGGGAGGCCGCACACAAAAACAACTAGAGATAAGTTCGCTTTTCATCGGGAATACTTCATGAGTGTTGACAGCTCGAGCAGTCTCCTCTTTACAGTCTTGTATTTGTTGTTCGGTGCCTCTCTGAGTGCTGCAGTCGCCATGAGGCGGATCTAACAGGGTGCTGGTATCATATTTCCTAAGAGCCAAGGCCACGTCACTATTGAGAGGCTCTATTTGGTTTTTTGTGGTGTGCTACAGAAAAAAACACGAGCTTAGTGTGAAGCTAACATTGCCAAGTACAACCAACGGGATTTTTGTTCATAACGATAAAACGTTATGATTTACGATTATAATACGTTACGATAATATGTTACGATAATACGATTCATAACTTCACGTTGTTCATCGCATGGAGATTTTGATGTTCTGAGAGATGCTCCTAAGTATGGCTGAATGAGCGTCATACCTAATCACAATGAGTTATTTGCGTCAAGTTTGCTTAC